ATGGCAAATGAAATGACATCACAGCTGATGCAACATGGTCTACCATGTCTCTTAGTAAAGAGGACCATACTTAGTGGCAACCAAATTGGTTCAACTGGAGAAATCACAGGCAATAATGTGTGCATTTTTACCAACTCTGCCACATTGGCAAGGTCTTCAAACAGAACAGCTGTCATTATGTGCAACCATTATGCACGGCTGTGGCTATTTATAGCCTTATATCATTAATTGATCACATGTACCTTTAAATTATCATTGCTGGTCGTATCTCAATGATCATTACTGTATTAAATGACAGGATAATCAATGATTCATTTATAGCGCTTTTAGTAACAGCCTTTACAAAGTGCTTCAGGATAAAATGATCATTAACAGGGAAATAGAGGCTTGAATCAATTATTTTTTTTTAAATGATAAAATGCATCACTCAAAATTAATTTTCAAATTAAGTTTATCAATGTGCCTTTTGACTTTTTACAAATCACTGTAGACTAAAACTAACACTTTAAGTGAAACTGGCAAACAACCTCATCAATGTTTTACCATAAGGTTACATCTCTCACCTTATATTTGCAATAAATGCAATAAAAGTGAAAGTATATAGCCTCTGAAATGTACTCAAAGTTTAACAGTAAAAAGTACTTTCTTGGTTTCTCAGAAGGACATTTCTACCAGCTGTTTCTGTGCAAAGCTAACTGAAACTTCAAATAGGGCAGTTTCTGGACCACAGTATCTTGTTACATCTGCACCTGTCTTGATATTAGCGGAGCGAGCATCAATGCAAAAAAAGAAAGAAAACGATAATACCCCTCAAATGCATTAAAACTAAAGTAATGAACCTATTTAGAAAAGAAAGTACAGATATTTGTGTAAACATACAGAGCCCCTAAAGTCCCCACAAGGAAATATTTTTATCTTGTGCACAAGTTATTATCGTGTGGGCACAAGTTACTTATCTTATGGGCACAAGTTATTATCTTGTGCGCACAAGTTACTTATCTTGTGATAACAAGATAATTTACTATAAATTCATATGCATCTCTAACGGCTTCAGATACACACAGCTGTCATATAATGGAGAGAACTCAGCTTATTAAGGTTTATTTTCACCTCGGAGTGTCATACCATGAAATTCTTGCTGTTCTTGCACGTAGAAATGGGATTGTCATTAGCAGAAATTGTTTGTTGCGCATACTGAAGGATATCAGGCTCAGCCAACGGAAAGACTATGCAGAATTAGACCTTGTCATTGACTTCGTCAAGGAACAATTACGAGGTCCAGGGAAGTTGCATGTGTATTGATGGACGTTAAGAAGTGTCGAGAAAATGTCCTTAAAGCAACAAAAGAAGAAGTTAGAGTTATAATAGACGAGTTGGATCCTGAGGGGTCAGCATACAGATGGCAATGGAGACTTCAGAGGAGACAATACTTCTCAAAGGGGACCCAATTACCTCTGGCACATTGATTCATATGACAAGTTGAAACCTTTTGGTGTGTGTATTAATGTGTCGACGGATTCTCTCTGAAAATAATTTGGCTGAATGCCTACCAAACCAGCAGTGACCCGTGAGTTATTGGGGGCTATTTTGTAGAAGCTTTAGAAGCACTAAGTAACTGTCCAAAACTTGTACACACTGAACGTGGCACGGAAAACTGCCTTGTACGAGAGTTATAGAGAGGTTTACGCACAAACCGTGGAGATGATTTGTCGGGAGAGCGAAGCTACCTCATTGGAGTGAGTACTGCAAACCAACGCATCGAGAGCATGGTGGGGAATCCTGCGGAGAGAAGGTATGGAATACTGGATCCAGCTTCTTGGAGAGCTAGGAGGCGAAGAGGCGTTTGATGGAGGTTTACTGGACAAGGCCATACTTCAGCTGTGCGTAATGGGAATAATTCAGGTATGATGATTGGGTGTTAATGTGGTCACACATGGACTATTGTAAAACATTATATCAGGCATGACTTATTCATTGATGAATGTGATTATCCAATATGTTGTTTCATTTTGCTGATTATAGTAGACGTTTTATGTGTATTTAAGAAGAGCTGAATAACATCAAGGATGTCTGGAATGCACACCGTATCCGACTGGAGCTGGATATGTCCAAAGGACAATTTGTGTTTCACAGTTGTGTACCTTGCTATGAGGATATATTTGATCTTTGTATGATACTTGTGGAGGAAATGGGCTTACAGTTCCCCAGTAAAAGCCCTCTGGAAGCTATTGATCTATATTTTACACTGCCATCAACATACAAGCAAGTGATGACTAGATATTTTTTGCAGTTTAAGCCTTCAAGCTATACCTTTATCATTCGTGTGTCATCAGCAGCAAAGAACTCATTTACACTCAATTTGAAAATTTTTAACGTGGTTCAAAACTTAACTTTGAACACTTAACTTAAAGGGACACTTCACCCATTTGCATTAAGCTTTGTATCATTAGAACCCCAGTCATATTTTTGAATGGTCGTGCATCATTCCCTCACTTTCCCTGAGAGGGGAGAAATAAGGATGTTAGTGTTGCACTTCCTGCTTCCAATGATGTAAAAATCGTCATTTTGCGTCATTGGAAGCAGGAAGTCTCATATCTCTGTAGAGGGGGTGAGACTACAAACACTACTTCCTCATTTTTTTTCCCCTCACGCTACAGACCTATTACAGATCAGTGGGTGGGACTTCACCTGCAGAAACTAAAAAATATAACCGCCATCTTGTTTGGAAGCTAAGCGGAGGCGCTAGCGAGCCAGACGTTACGACTATGTTAATCAATCTAATATGGAAGAAATGTATTTAATTATTTAAGTATGATGGTCGAATCAGATGTTCGTGGCTACCTTTATGAGCCGCAATATAGCGAAGAGCAGCTGAGGCTGAACAGGAGGCGGCTGAGGCTTCTGCAGCCGAGGCAGAGGACCTGCCTGTCGCGGACGAGGAGCCCGGACTGGCTCGAGCTGGGGCGGACTGCTGGTGCCTGTGCTCTCGCTGTGCGCCTACGGACACACGGACGTCTGACTGTAAAGTGAGTGTTTCTATTTTCTGTCTTATAACAACGTGGCATGTATGTACACAATTTGTTCAAGTTTTATCACAAAGTTATTCCCGGTTAATACGTAACGTCAGCCAACTGAACTAACGTTAGCTTCTTTACTGCACAAACAGCTTACAGTTGCATTGCTAACTACTGTGGCACGCTACACACAAAGACCATGCATCGCTAACTGTGTGCTCAATGTCTTGCAGACAATGTCGCCTAACAGCCTTTCTGGAATGGGTCCTGCAAGGCGAGAGATTGGGTCGAGGCCATCGTGTCGTTTTACCCGCTTATGTGGTGCAGGCTCTCCGACGGTATCCAGCTCCAGATGGCCAGTACTGCGGCACCGAGGAGTTGAGGACGCTCAGGAGGAACTATAACTGTCATTGTTAACATATTTATTTTTGTTGTTGCTGATATATTTCTGTAAATAAATGGTTCACATTCACATTGTTGTAGTCCTTGATAGTGTTAGTGGGAGCAGCTTGCGGAGCTGTGCATTGTGGGAGTTGTTGTCTTTAATAAAAATGCGTCCTAAAGTCACTTTCTGTCTTTTCTCGGTCAAATAGGCACCAAATTCAAAATGTATGTTAGATTTCAACTACATATATAACCTACTTTCAATAAATATTAATGTTTCCATGGGTGAAATGCTCCTTTAAAGCTTTATACCTGTCTGTACAAACCTAAAATGTTTTTACAACATACACTTAAGGAAATGAAAATAATAAAAAGTTACTGCTTTCACACACTGCAGTTCTTTGTTTTACAAAAATAGTTACCAAACTTAAACCTGTAACATATTTTTGTTGAATTGATTACTTTACATGTATAATTGAAAAAAATGCATTCATAACCTTTATTTCTAGGTTGACAGATATGGATTTTTTAAAAAGGAAAATTTGTCCACGTATATATGTGCTTTGTAAATAATAAAGTAATTTCAAGTGCAATTCGTTGGCAGAGAAGACATGTTTATACTTTGAAAACAAGACAAAATTTTCTTGAACAAAGACAGGTTACAGCAGGAACCCAAGATGAAAGGCATCATCAAATTGTTTAAACATTGTACTGGGCAACCAAAATGATCCAAGATTCATTATTGTGCAACTAAACTGTAATTGGTGTCTCCACATAATGAAATTAAGACTTGACCAACCTGAAAACACACACTGTGTTTGGCTTGATCACTGAATGCACTCATCAGGTCAGTGAGACAAAACCCTCTTCTTACTTCGATAACCACAGTGGGATCTTCCAGTGGAATCGTATAATCAAGATTGCCAGATTTACTCTCAGGAAATGCTGCCCCTATGAAAACCTCATTAAAGCTGTCCTCAGTCTGATTATTACTTACATTTAAGCCATTTTCTGATCCAGCATTTGTCTGAGTACTGTCAAGCACATTTCCTGTTTCCTCACTCCATTCTTTATGCTCACTCATAACATATAGTGTTTGGTTCATCAGGTCTTGCGGTTCTTGCACAACAATTGTGTCTGAAAAGTGTGTCTCATTTTAAACCATCAGGACATTTGGTACTAGCTCTTGACTGGTCTGTTGAATGTCATCTGGAGGAGGTTGTTCATCTTCATCAGGTGTCTGTTTCATTGGGAGAACTGTGTACCTTCTCCAGCTTCCTGCTGCAAATGTATACTCTCAGTAGTCTCACCTTAGTTTCTTCATAAAAAATGGAACACTCTTACTCAATCGGCCTGTGACGGATATCCCGCATGTCAGAGTGAAGACTTTTGAGCTCCAAATACTTTGATTCCCCTTCTGGAAAAAAGAAGCTCTCAGCCAGTTTTGACCGCTCGTACTTTTGCATGTCTGTCTATGTAAACATGCCTCGTCACTCCTCCTTTGCAGATCGAACCTGCTTAAACTCATTCAGCCTAATTCAAGTCTTCTGGGTTTTTTTCCCATGTGTTTCTCTGAAAGTTCTTGTCTGTGTTTTTCTTTAGTGGAAGGGTTGCAGAGTCTTGATCTTACTTTCCAAACAAGTGATGTTTTCTGCCCATCTTGTCTCCATCTGATGACTGAAGTTTACGACAAAATGCCACAACCGCTACCCATTCACCATAATGGGGTATGTACTTGGTAAGATCATGATCTGACAGAAGCGGAATCACAGTGGTATCAGTCTGCAACAAGGAAACATTTAGAGGGATTAGTATAGGATAGTAAAGGATTTGAAAACTAGAATAGCCAAAACATCTATTCAGTACAATGTTGAAAAAGAGAAACAAATTACAGTAAATAGAAGTAAAGGATGAAATTATTACTTTTAGTCAGAAATATATTGGCTAGTAATACTCTTAATTTCCTATCTCTGAAGTTATTCAAATTTTGTTATTAGGTTAAAACTAATAACTATGAAATGGTAAAGAAAATTAGCAATTTATGCAGCTAGATCATATAGATTAGTCATGCTATCAACAGCTTAAGGGGAATAGTGAATTTTTAGTAGTAAATAGAGTTGAAAAATAGACACTGGAAATAAATTTTTTTTTTGAAGTGCTGTTAGTTCTTTGTACGTCTGCATGGGTTTTTATTTGTCCTTTTAAACCAAACTTACATTGTCCTCAACAATTTCGGAGATTATGGCCTCCTCAATATTCCTTTCATGGAGAAAACCCAAAAGGTTTAACAGTGAGGGTAAACAGATCAATATTGTAGAACAAATTTATTAAAATTGAAATGAATACCTTACAACTATCATTACTTCATTGTGTGTACAAGCCTTCACACCATTTAAAGCTATAGTGGACATTATAAGTCGTTTAAATGAATCATCAAACATAAACAAACAGCCAGTCCAATACATGATAAATACAATACATGATAAAGTAAACCCCTCCCGACAGACACAATGTTTCAGAACCACGGACAGTGCTTATCACTACCTGCACTGTGTCTGGTGAATGGTTCGGGACTGAACCCAAACAAATATCTCTCTCACGACACAACAGACCAGAGGCTCCTATCACAAAGATCCTAGCTATAGGAAATTCATTAATATAAAGGGAGATTCCAGGACAATGGGGCTCACCAGGTAGACATGTGGATACAGTCGAAGGTGCAGTTATACGCCAGGGATGTTCTTATCGAGACCTTACCTGGCAAGTCAGGACTATTGAGTGAACCTCACACGCTATAGTAACGTAGCCAGTGTATTGCATCTCTACATTGTATTGTTTACCAATACAAGTTATTAGGGCCCGAGCACTGACCGTGCGAAGGCCCTATTGTAGTTGTAAGGATTCTTATTATTATTTTAGTAACAAATGAATCGCATTTTAAGAGGCTTTCCCGTGCTCGAAAAGTCATGAAACGCGGGCACAGGTCAGTCGTGGTGAACAATTTAATGTTCCATGCGTCGGTTTCGGTTTGGCCACTAGGTGGTGCTACTATCTAGGGGGCGGCTGTGGCTCAGAGGCAGAGCGGGTCGTTCCTAAATCGGAAGGTTGTGGGTTCAATCCCCAGCTCCTGGTGCCACATGTCGAAGTATCCTTGAGCAAGATACTGAACCCCAAATTGCTCCCGATGCCGTGCATCGGTGTGTGAATGTGTATGAATGTTAGTTTCTGTGTAAAAGCGCTTTGAGTGGTCGGAAGACTAGAAAGGCGCTACACAAGTACAGGTCCATTTACCATCCATTTACCACTATCATGAAAATGGATGTTTAAGCTAATAACTTCTGCATCGTTTGTCGCACATTCAAAAACCTTGTATCCACACGTTCGGTGAATGGAGCTGCATCTCCCCATATAGGCCCCGCCCACTGTCGCTTTAATTTTTTTTTGCTAGAGCACGAAATGTCCATAAACTACTTTTTGGTCTTCCTCTTATGTGCTTTGTCCGATTCGCACAAAATGTTTCAGGTAGCATTTGGGGACTGTCCTGGCAAAAAAAAGTAATTTTAAGAGTTTCAAAAAATAAGCACGTTATAAAATTAGCACTTCCTGTAGATTTTTTGTCAAAACAGGAAGTGGAGCATTTCTCTACATTGGTATGTCCGATTGACACCAATCTTTGGTCCATAGTTCTCCATGTCTACCTTAGGCATTGTGCACAATTTCAGGCCATCACCACAAGGTGGCGCTCTTTAAAATGAAAAAGTTTATATCTTCGCATCGGCACATGTGATTAAAACGAAACTTGGTACGATGATTGTCCATGGCTCCCTTAGGCTTGCTAAAAAATGTGTCAACAATCCCCCTCTAGGTGGCGCTCTTGTGGCAGGGTAAATCACTGTGCGGAGACCGTAATAGTTATGAATATGAAATTCACAGGGCACGTGTAGACTGGTGCCTGCAGCTCACATACCAAGAATCGTGTTTGTCGTGTTTGTAGCGCCCCCTTCAGTATTTCAACAAAGCAGCCCCGGCGCCATGTTTCACCAATATGTATGAAACTTGGTAGGCACGTGTAATGTGCCGAGACGTACAGAAAAGCCTCTTGGTAGGCACGTGTAATGTGCCGAGACGTACAGAAAAGCCTCTTGGACCCATACCCATATACTTTTGGCGAACTTTTCGCCTTGTATTTGAACAAGCTGTTTTTCTTAATGTATTTTATCACTTGTATTTTTATTTGTCGCTAATTTTGATGTGTTATTGCCCCTTGTTTTTTTATTGATTTTTTTTTCTTTTATGAAAAGTGTACAAATAAAATGTATTATTTTTATTATTAACTGCTCCTAGGTAATTTATCAAATCTACTTCTAAATTGATCAGTACAGTCAAAATATGTTGCTGATGAAAAGTTGTGCTATTTGTGACTGTACATCAAACCGCGTGCCAGTTTCAGCAGATTCGCCATAAAATAGTGCCCATAACTTCAGTGTGCAATGTACAATCTCCAATAAACTTAAAATATTCTGAAACAGTTTTGCCCTGAACACGTCCTCATAACTTCAGTGTACGTGGTCCAATCTCAATGAAACTTCACGTGTTTGATAACTTTGAACATGTCTACATGACAACATTCAGACATAGTGATAGAGCCACCTACTGGCAACAGGAAGTAAGTGCTGCGTGGCGATTTTGAGCTGATTTACGTGAGATTTTCATCCGTACGTGTTACCACGGCGCGCGACGCGGCTGCAGCACGCCCTGAGTTGCGTGGAGTGTGAGGTCCCGCTCAATGCTGCTTGCAGCTTTAATTTAGGATTAAATTACTTAAAATTAGAATTTTGGTCTCTCGACTGAGTAAACTTTAAGAAATTACACCTTAATCTGGGATTAATAATAAGTATAAAAGTAGTTAAAATAAGACACAATTTCTTCAAATAGCATTATAAGAATAAGTGACTTTGTCTTAAATCAAGACACCAAAACATTCTCATTTTTAATATTTTTATTCACTTTGCAATACAATTGCTTAATTAAACATCCATCAAAAAACAGAATGTTATATCTGCTATTGTTGCAGCATACTATAACAATTAATACAACTTTGCAGCTGCTGTTATTGCACATTATCCCACAGGAAAAGTTTTCAATTTCACCAACAAATGTGGCTAACAGTGATAAAGCTTTTATGAAACAGAACTTTGACTTTCTTTGAAAGTCTTACATGAGATAGAAAGTGAGGCGGTGTCAAGAAACAAACACACAAGAAACAAAGAGACTCACTCACTCAGTGAAGGACTTCTACTCGCCAATGGCTTTTTTGTAGGAAGGGGTCAAATCTTGCAAATACTGGCCTCCTCTTTTGAAAGGTCGCTGCCTCCAGTGGGAGGTGACTGCTGAATTTCAGGAGCAGCATCCACCTACAATACATTTACACAAACATTTTATTGAATAACATTATCTTTTAGTGGATTAAAAAAACTTGAAAAAAGCACTTGGACTGTTGAAAGAGACTCAAAGCAGAAATGTCTAAAATAAATAATGAAATATTATGTATATGGACCAGAATTGAAGTTACTTAACATTTCTGTGACATTGGAAAATGTCTTGTACTGTTAAACAGTTCTGTCATACTGTGAAAGACCTTACCTTTTCATCTTTATTCACAACAAGCCATATAGCCCGGCGCCTCACCAAATTTTCAGGACCAGGAAACAGATCTTTGATGTCATCAGGAGAAAGCAAAGGTAGTAAGTCTTCTGCAATATTAACAGCTGCAATATAGACAAGTTACAGTCATTACCAAGAAACTGATGTTATCATTGAATTCCTACAGATTTGAACATGGCAGATGAGGATATTTTGCCAACTCAACACCCTGACACCTCTTGTACAGTTAGCATTGTTTGGACAGTTTGCTCAGTCTTGCTACACACTACCATTCTACTTCAAGAGCAGTGAGTGAATTTGACAGCATTTATAAATTAGATATATCTATATTCAAGCCATGCAACTACAGTAAGAGTGAGTATAGAGCCTCGCTAGATAAAATGCATTCACATTTCACATTAATGCTTGATAGAGAATGACTATTGTTTTTTAATTTTACTTAAATATATCATACATACAAGTATTTGCTAAAGCACTTTTAAACAAACATGTTACAGATTTAATAAATAGCACTCAGGCTCCTCGGACTGATGTACATATGAGACAAACACAATCAAAATCAGAGTGATGTGCTTTAGACCAATATCTTAACAGCTGATGTTTTACAAACCACCAGGTGTTACTGTATTTTCAGCATTTACAGCCCTTAATAATAAGAAAATGTAACAAAAGTCCCAAAGCCCAATTAGACTTCACATATTTTTAGATGGGGATCATCATGCACCAAGTACTACCAAGGTCTAGCTCGTTTTTATGTCACTTGGCCCATTAGCCTCTCTGACGCTGGGAATCCACAACTCGTTAAGCTAGGTTAGCTACGTAAAATATAACATCAGCACGACAAAAAGAACCCCTTGTAGCATACCTTTGTGTGTGGCAATTGAAACATCGTCCAGTTTATCCATAGTTCGACTCCACTGATATCCACATACGACACTTTAAAATTATGAATTCACAGCAGCGGCACACCCCCAAAGTGTGCACGTGCGCTTATTTTCAAAATGCAACGGACTTCAGGAGGAAAAAAAAGAGTGCAACACGGTGGAATGTACCATCTGCACAC